TACTAAAAAAATACTAAAATTTACTACTATAAATATATATATATATATATATATATATATATATAGATTTTTTTTTTATGGGTCTTACAACTATCATATAAGAGGTATTATATAAAGAGTAATTCTTATTTGGTCTACATATTTCTTTTTTCAATTTTATTCTTAAATATTTGTTTTAAGTATTTTTTTTTAATTTAACTGTTTTAATTTTATTTGGCTTTTTTTAAATTTAATTGTTTATTAATAACTGTTTATTAATATTTAATTGTTTATTCAGAATAACTGTTTATTAATATTTTACTTCCAATATGTTTCGGTAAACCAAAAAGTTATTTTGGTATCTAAATTTATAGAGCCAAAGGCTCATGGGTAGGTGGCGGATCGTTGACTGGTCTATTTTTCACTCTCTTTTCCATAAAATCTTGTTTGTGTTCTGCACCGAACCAACTCGAAGGCAGTGATGAATGCAAACATGGCCGCGGCTACCACGATTTCTCAGCTCGGATGCTTCTCCGCCGTCCACCGTAGCATACACCTCCGCAGCCGCTCGCTTCTATTTCCTTCTCCTCGCTCCAAGGTCTTTCTCCTCTTTCTCATTTCCAAATAGTTTATTGCCACCGTCACTGTAACTTGGTAGGGTTCGTGGTAAGAAAAATTGCATGCATCAGGCTCGCGAATGTACTAGGTATTGTGTAGATCTAAAGCGCCGCTTGCTAAATCACACGTTACCAAGGGAAGTTTGAAGTAGCTGTCGTTGCAAAAAATTAAAGGAACTCTAACGTCGACGACTTAGAGTCCAGAGTGACGTTGTCTTAGAATCGCAATTTTAGGTTCTTATTATGGATTGACTAACTTTTAATGCGTGTTTGAACTAATTGGTTTCTCTTAGGGAAAAAAATGTTATCGTGTTTTGTTTGCGGCTTCTCGGTGGTTGTTTTAATGATTACTTCTTAACCAGTCTTTTTCTAACATGATTTAGTGTTGAATATGGTGCTTTCTGTTCATACATTTGGTTTTCTGATTTTGTTGGTTTCAGTCACAGGAATTTTTTAATTTGTATTACTTACAAACTAGATTACTAGAAGAAGAGAAGAAGCATTAACATAAATCCATTATATTTTGGAATTCGGTAGAAAAAAGAAAGCAGTATGTTGTTATCATAAGCAATATATTTTTAATCACCGTAAATTTTGGAAATTTTGTGACGAGTTTCTTTCACATTATGTGGTTTTTATTATTTTTTTAATATGGATGTATGACAGTTATAACTCTGTGTATCCCATTCCATCATATCTATCATTCGCGTTCCTCTTGTGACTTGTTTCCTTTTGGGGTATCACTCAGCCCTTCTATGCCTTGCTTCCCTTCTACTATTGACTTTGTTGCTGCAATGCACACATAATCTACATCTTTCAGATTTGGCGCCCATTACTACATATATATGCTTGTATTGGTTTATGTAATTGTAGTGAGAATACCCAAATTAAAAGGCACATAGCAGAGTACTGGGAGTCAATATGATCAAGTATTCAAGTTGGCCTTGTTGATGATTTGATAGATTGGCACGTTTCTCCTTATTTAGGGAAAGTCATATTAAGTCTATGTGCTTGCGCATATCTTTACTTTGATATTGCAACCGTAGTGCTAGACAATATGGACAGGCTTAAATAACTGCATAAATAATATTTTTGTTAAATAAAAGTTTTCTAGAGCAATTATTTGACATTGATACTGAACTAGAAGCATATCTCATTTAGTTATCAGTTGTTATGAGTCTGGAGAGGCATGACACAGATACTGCTGGGACTGATACCAAAAATACACTGAGTTATGCAGCTGATGTGTCAAAGCTACATGTTGAAGAAAAGCAGAACTCGTATTCAACAGAAGACGACCATGATACTGAAAAAACAGGGGTTGGACAGGAAATACAAGGAAGTGTTGATCAACCGAAAAAGACTGCTAAAATCCATGACTTCTGTTTAGGCATTCCCTTTGGTAAGTGTTTCCTTGTGTAGATTATTTGCACTTTAGATAAGTTATATGATGCATTTCCCATACTCTGCTTGTTTGGAGGGAAATGGAGGGGTAGAGATTATTAGTTTTTTTTTTTTTTTTTAATTTTATCCTATTTGATTCAGAAACTTAGTGAAATGGGAGAGCTAAAATCCCTCTCTGCCTACCTTCAATATTGGGGAGGGGGATGTTTGGAGGAGAGGGAAGCTAAATTATAGTTTTTGGACTGTGTAGAATGAATTATCTCAATTTATTTACTTCTCATCTCCACCATTACTGTTTATTAGGGTCTGACAGTATTTTTCTCTCCCCCTCCCTTGCAAACAAAATAAGGTGATCATTCCCTCCCCTCCCTTACTTTGAACAAAATACATTATTAGTGTGGGTGACGGTGTTTGGTTTAATTGCTCTTTTATCCCCTTTAATTGTCAATCTAATCAGAAAGAGAAAAAAGTGACTCCTTTGTTGTTGACAAGTCTGGCATACACTGTTTATTTTTATTCCCTGAAAATTTCTCAGTAGTTGATAGCACCGTGTCTACGGCAAAAATCAGGAGCAATTTCTGACCTTTGCGTGACACGAACACTGGTGCAGCATGTGCTTATTATTATGCAGCAGGTGCAGCTGCTTTTTGCCGCGAGATTGCCATTCTGTTTTCTTTGTATTTTTTAATCCTTTTTATTTCTTAAGCCATTTCAATTAAATTCCCTTATAAATTGATCAGTTACATTTTCCTATTGTAAAGGTTAACAAAAATGCCCCTTGTAATGTTTCTTTTTTCCTCTCTTTTTTTCTGAAGTGTAACACTTTTGAGTCTCCCCTATTAAGTCCCCCTTTTGTACGATAATGTGTGAACGTGAAGACTTTTGTTCCCTTTTTTCAATATTCATGGGTGTGATATAATATTTTTAAATATGCATATTGTTTTCCAAACTACGCAATAGAGGCCATCCTGCCATTTGAGATCCCAACTATAGTGTTTTGCAGGGGTCACAGTTCCATGCTGCTATCAAAGATTAACTACTTAGGTTGAATTTGATGGAAGATGTTAGATTATCCTGTTTATTAGGTCTGATCTAGGTAAGTTGAAATTAAAGCTCGTTCAAAGGAGATAGAAAACGATTATACCTTCTGTTCATGTTTCAGAGACTGTAGTACACTAGGTGAAAGATATTTGAATATAGTGAATTGATTTATGTTAGGACATCACTCAGAATGATTGTCTGGGAAGCTCTGAACAGTGCCTATGTCAACTAACTATTGGCTTCTCATCATTGCTAAGCTCACTTCATCAATGAGCTAAAGCAGCTCAAGTTGGTTTCCAAATCCCTATTTAAGACTTGGTTTGACCATCTGAATCAGGATGATGAGAGAGCTCATTTAACTAATGCCCCTCAACTTAAACAATTCTTTCTAAGAATAGCTAATGAAAAAGGAATCAGTCTCTAACCACCGATTTTTTAATACTGTTTAGCGTTACTGCATATCTTTAGAATAACTCAGTGACTGTCTTGTCCATACCAGGAGGCTTAAGCAACCAAAAAAGAGCTATATTGTAACTAAATTCCTATTGTTACGTATCCGAGTCGGAGACATATTAAACACGATCACAATAGGTAGAAAAGACAATAGGTAGAAAAGACAATGAACGAATGATAATGGACGAATGAATCTCTTTTATTGATGGTAATATCTGAATGAACAAAAGTAAATAATAATTGGGAGCATAACCTCCTTCAATTACTTGGGAGCATAACCTCCCTCACAGGACGCATAGTCGCCTGTCAACCAAACTCAATAATCAAAAGCATCCTTTCACCCTAGCATTTAGGCTTTATTTATATTAAATATTTCCCTAGAATACAATCCTATTTACTATAATTAACTTATACAGAATAATAGAATATAATTCTATTTACTATAATTAACTTATACTGAATAATAGAATATAATTATATTTACTATAATTAACTTATACTAAATAATGGAATATAACTATAATTACTATAATTAACTTGTACTTAATAATTCCTCGGGATATAGCTCTAATTACTTTAATTATCTTGTAGTGAATATTTTCCTTGAATGTGACTCTCCTTTACTATTATTAGTTCCCACCCATCCTAACTACTACT